CAATACCTGTTTAGGGAAGAATTTGGTCAATATTTTTATTACTTTAATTTATTTTGGCTATCACAACAGCACCGACAAGCTTCTAATGTCATTGTGTTGTGCAGTGACAGGTTTTCTTTATAGAGTCATCAGGGGGTCTATTGGACCCCTGATGTCTTCCCCTTGCACTGCATCAAAACAAATAAAGTACTGGCAATGCTTTGTTTGCATTTCTGGCAGCCAGAATCTAACACCTGTAAGTGCTCAGAGCAGAGCACTTACATGTACAAAACCTGTAAGTGTTCAGAGTGGTTCCAGGTTCACAAACAAAAAGCATAGATCTGTGAACAGACTTTTGCTTCTCCACCATTTGGCCATCATGAACGCTGCTCGCCATCCTGAATGCCTGGTGTTAATCCTGAGCATTTTGAACAGCTAATCCCTGTAACATTTTTAACATTACCTGTAACATTAGTGATAAGCATCAGTAAAAAGAACCCCCAATAAATCTTGCAGCATATAAACAAAAAAGGTAAGAAAACACTTAGGTCCCACAAAAGATGAGCATGAAAGGTCGATCACAAATGGCATGGAGAAGACAAAAAGGTATTAAATACATTCTTTACTCTGCATATACTGATGTACTGCAATGGCCAACGGAAGTCAGGGTTCAAAACAGACTCGAACTTGGCTACAGGAATGTGCCCAGAGAGTATAGGTAAATTGCACAATTTCTGAATGGTCTAGGGTTGGACGTGGCGTGCTCCAGGGTTGTCGTAGGGCCAATGCTGTTTAACCTGTTTATTAATGATACAGAGGTTGCCATTAATAGCCTTGTTTCTGTGTTTGGTGACTATTCCAAAATTGTATGGTAAATAACTTGACACAAGACATAGCAGCATTACAGGAAGACTGACAAAATAGGTGGGTGGGCAACTACATAGCAGATGAGGTTTAATATTGAAATATTTAAGGTTATGCATTTGGGTGTTAAAAATATGCATGCCAGCTACTCATTAGGGAGAGCTCATCTGTGGAAATCTGAGGAGGAAATTGATTTGGGGGTCCAGGTTGACTTCAGACTTGGTAATAACATGCAATGCCAGGCTGGAGTAAATAAGCCCAGCAGACTACCATCATGCCTAAAAAAGGCAAGACAAATCCACAATTGTACCACTATATAAAACACCTGGATCATCTTAATTATATGGTTCAATTTTGGTCACCAATCCTCAGAAAGGATGTCCTCAAGCTGAAAAGAATCCAGAGAAGTGCAACAAAACTAATAAAGGGGCTGGAGAACCTAAACTATGAGGAACCTTTACAGAAATTACACTTACTTACTCTGGAAAAGATTCTTTTAAGAGGTGTTATGATTGTCCTGTGCATATTGTTTAATGGTGATAGAATCAGTAATAAACTGTTTACTGTAAGTTCGCTTAAAAGAAGAGGCTTTCTCCTTAAAATTGTAAGGAAAAAAAAAGGGGGATTCTTTACTGTTAGAGCAGTAAAATATTGGAACTCCCTCTCTAGGTAGTGGTATCAGCTAAGAGTATAGACACATTCAAGAAAATTTTAAAATGAACACACACACCAACTATGAGTAACTGCAGCTGGCTGCCACCATCTTTGGATGTGGCGTCAGTATCCCCAGCAGACTCAGAGCCATTACTTAAGTGACACTCGTTCCTCCCTTTCACTCCTGACAGCAACATAAAAGTTTTCTTAGATGGGCGAGAGCAAGGCATAGAAGCTGAGCCAGCACAAACAGTAATCAGACACTCCCCAAAGAAGAGAGCAATGACATGACATACACACGCACAACACACACACACATTGAAGTTTCTTTTTTCAACCTCAAATACTATAACTATGCAACATGCAAAT